GGGAACAAAAACACTCACCATTTTTTAGAGAATTCTGGGTTGGGTGGGTGTCCCTCTATTTTTGCAATTCTAGTTGAGCCACTGGTAACCTAACAGTTGTTAAAAACATGTTACACAAATTACTATTAAAAACTAATCCACTAAACTTGCTGTACGTATATAAATATAAAACATTTTGTAGTTAAATTTATTCTTATAAAATGTAATAATATTGTTACAGTAATATTTAATCACTAGACTTGATTGTTTTTGGGTATAAATATCCTGAACGTTACCATAACAACATTATTTGTTGACGCTATTGAAAGCCACCACAATGGCATGATGGATTATGTGCCCGGTGGCTATTTGACTGCTTCATTTCATTTACATTATTCATAATTCTCCTATTATAATAGCATTAAATAGCATGTTAATATAAATATTTAAGAGTCTACAAAATGGCCAAAAAAATATTAGTTTTTCTACATTGTGTATTCATTTTTACTGCTTATAGGAGTCTCTGTATGGTTATTGTAAAAACATGCTAATGAATATCAAAGGGCGGTGGTTGTCACGTCGCCGTCCTGTTCAATATGGGACTCGTTGCGACATATTCAATGCATGTAAAATGCTTTGATGTTTACATGAAATTCGAATAGCGCTGCGCGACGACCACCGCGCTTTAAGTCATGTGCAAGTGTCTCAGACAATTCATGTTCCACAACCCCATGCTATATTCTGTTCATCTTGTCCCATTTACTGTTTAATTATAACGAATTTTGCTATTAAAGTCAGTGAAAAACGCAAAATGTTGTCGCAGTGAAAATTTCTCTGCAGGTTTACGACACAGTGTCAGTGACTTTTGCAAAAATTTGTCTTCACAAATTCCATAAATTCCTCAAATCAGAAAAACATTTTTTTTTCTAAAATGTTTTTGTGCCAGGCGACAGTTCCGGACATTGAATGTCACTGTTGTCTCCCCTGACTTTTTTTTTTTTTAGTGCAAATTGCAAATGCTAGTGCATTTTGTCACAGATGTCATATTCATGTTTGGGTCTACATGACAGGGCTGTGTGGCCATCTCTCTGTCAAATAGCAATTTGTAATGCGCTATCCTGGCGTCAACCAGACTTGACCAAACACAAGCACCTAGCACCAAGGTTCCCCCAAAGTCGCATTCATTAGTTAATGAATCTTGGCCAGTGGAATTGGCCTACCCATTGAATCTGTGGCACACTCACCCAGGGTAGGGGTTGACCCTTTTTGATGTTCAGCCTAAAGTAGGTTTTGAACTTGGGTCTACCAATCATGAGTCTGATAACCACCACTATGCTACCAGTGACTGGTCGAGCTGTGAAAATTAAGCAGTGAGAAAATTCCACATTTTCATCAAAACTTAGATCCATGACATTTAACTTTCATTTAACATACTGTACTTGTGGTTTTATTTATTATTATTTTTTTACTATTTATTATAGAGACAAGCCATATTTATTTTATTTTGACATAACTGCTTGTGCAAGTGCTGCTTCACTATTAGAACTACAGTGTCCCACTACACAGGTATGTATTGAATGAATGCATCAAGTAATTCATCACTTTATAATATGATTATTTAGACCAAAACAAATCACTCACTTTGTTCATTTGTCATAGAATTAGAATTTGGGAATCATAACATCAAAATGCAAATGTTCTGTCTAAAAGAACTTCTGAATTTGGCATTTTTTTTTTGTCTGTATTTTTTTTTTCTGTATCTGGATTGCCATTCAATTTGTAAAGTTAGAAAATTTTTTATTACGTAAATGTTTAGAATCTATTGACTTGGCAGTCTTATGATTTTGCTAACCCTTACTACTGTAAAATAATTTATTTTAGCTGGAATTAATTTTTGCTGAAAATACTTTTTGGGCGTTTTGTTATTTTCACTGATTTTTGACGAGTTGAATGAATGTAAAATATAGGAAAAAAGGTATACTCACTGAATTTTATTTTCACTAAATCTCTCCTTCAGCAAAAATAATAAAAATTTATCCCAAACAAAAATAAAGTATTTTACAGTAATATTCAAATGTGTATTTGCTCTGCCAGTAGGGAATGTTCTTAAAGAGGCACTTCCAGTTAAGCCTAATCTCACAACAAATTTACTTTCTGGATTAAAATAACAATGGATAACAAACAAACAATCGATTAACTTTGTAAATAACATAAACAATAGTGTCCCATGATTCTTTGGTGCAATCCCTGGGCTTGGAAGGTTTCCCTTCTAATACATAATGATCAGTATACGATAAATTCTTTTTTTTTTTACCTGCATTTTCGTTACCATAGTGATGTGCTTCTGATAAAGTAAATACATGTATGAGCCATTATTTATGCTAGTGTTGATATAAATATATAAAATACTTAAATGATTGGTAAATTATAATTGATAAAGAACAAAACAAAACCACTAAATGAATTACTTCAATGTTCTAGATTTGTGTGTCGAAATGTCCAACAGAGAATTGGGTCGGATATTTAGAGGAAGTAAAATATCAGGACCCAACAACTACGCTGAGTGTAGAATGGACTAAATTCATCTGTGATTATGATATAGATGCGGAAAACTCTGGAAAGGTAAGGAATATATCACTACTTACTCTTTATCACCCTCCCCCTCCCCCAGCTCTGGCAGGTCTCCATGATTAACTATGAATACTTGATTTCAACAAACAGTGTGGCTAGTTTTAGGTCTAAAGATGCTGCTTCATATATTATGATAGTAATAATCTCAATTGGGAGCTGTATCATAAATTACACAAGTTATATGCATAATAATAAGCTTATATTTCAATGTAAAATATATTGAACTTTTGAAGCCAGTTTGACCTTGATTGAAGTATATATCAATTAATTTAAACCGCGGGTTCGGATATATAAAAGGAATGATGGCCGCCAGTTTTCAGTATCCAAATAACACTCAAGCGTGAAACATCTCTTCGGGGTGCCGCAAAATCACTTTTTCCGGCAAACTTAACGCCTGTTTTTTTAATTTGTTGGAGCCTTTTTTTCAAGTTGCATAACGTCATTATTGCCTAAACAACTGGGTGAACCATGCAAATTACATTTCCCATGACGCACTGGTGGTTTTATTACTGTTTATTTTTTATATGTTTGAATGATTGATACTTACAAGATTATGACCAAATTCTTCAGTCCCTTGTGCAGCAGTGGATTCAATTCATTTTCAAGCTTACCGGTAGATTACCTTGGTACCTAACAGAAATGCCTGCCTCTTTAAAATGAATTAAAATTGTAATGTTGATATACTTCTGTAATTGATTTTTTTAATTTTTTTTATTAGAGTCCATTAACTCTGTTTGAAGATGATGAATGTGCATCATACTACTTGGAATCATCTGATTGTAAGTAATCAAATCGTTACACGTTTGTTTTGTTATTGTACATTTTTAGCTCCACTGTCTACTTTGTCGAGGGGAGCTTATCATATGAGTGATTGTCCGTGTCAATGTTTTACTTTTTAGACTTCTTCTTAAAAACTACAAGCCTGAATGCTTTTATACTTGGTGTATATGTACCTTGGGCGGGCTTCTCTTAGATTTGTTCATTTCATGATGATATCTTCAATTCTCTAATTTAAATGATTATTTTTGTCTTTTTTGGTAAAAAGTGATATTTTTTAGACTTGTTAAAAACCGCAAGTCTGATTGCTTTGATACTATACATATAGGTACTACATGTGGACCTCTCTCAGATTTGTTCATTTCGCGATGATATCTTCAATTATCCAATTTTGATGAATATTTTTGTTATTTTTGGTAAATTCCATTAAATTTCTTGTTGAAAACAGTACCGGTAAGACCGATTGCTTTGATACTATGCATATTGTTCATTTTCTAATGAGTTCTTTAATTAAAATGTGCCTTGCTAACAGCGGAGCTATCTCAGCCGACAGACTGCTTGTTTACTTTAGAGATGTACGTATACATGTACTGTAAAATACTTTATTTTAGCTGGAATTAATTTTCGCTGAAACGAATTTTTGGGTCTTTTGTGTGGAATATATTTTCACTGATTTTTGACGAGTTGAATGTAAAATATAGAAAAAAAGGTATATTCGCTGGATTTTATTTTTACTGAATCATTCCTTCAGCGAAAATAGCGAAAATTTTACAGTATTAAGCAAAAATGTTCAGCAATTATATTTTGCTAAAATCTGTTTAACTTTTCTAAGCACCAAAGTCAATTTATGTCAACATTCGTAAATTTTATACCCACAAATTATTTCAGAATTTTTTTAAAAATCTTTACCTGTATCTAACAAGTAGCCAATAAGGAATTATTTCCATCTGAACCAAAATTATCAACAGAAAAACTGACAAAATTTAAGTTGCACCAAAACCGAAGAAATAATTATTGTAGTTCAGCTAATGTCTTTTTGTCTATTTATTTTGGCTATCAATGATGTAAACATTGTATTTTATTATGGTATTTAAGTACAGCAATTATATTTCTAATATATGCATGTGAAATTACATTTGGTATTTTGGTCAATAGAGCACTCGCTGTTGTTAAACCATTCTTGTCATTTTATATACTGTAAAACATGCCGTTTGTCGCGAGCATGTCTTTTTAGTGAATTTAGCGAGAGAACTGATTCGCTAAATCAAGATGTCGCTAATGACTTTTAAATTCAAAATGGCCAAGGCTTGGGGATTTGTATAATCCAGAACATAAAAATCTGGGTTGCTTCCTAATTACACTTGACAGTTTTTTCAACATGTTTTACTGTATGTATCTCTTTAAACACCATTGTATATATATGTAGGTATCGACCAAGATAATTGACCACAATCCGCTAAAATAGCATGTCGCTTTTTCAACATGTTTTACAGTAGTATATTGAGCAGTCCTGACTTCAATCACCATGTGTGTGCATGGCTTCCAAAACCTTAAGACAATATCCTTAATATGATTGGCACGTAGAAACTTTAATAGTCTACATGAATTGAATTCATTTATCAATTGTTGATTGTTTCTTTGTCTACTAGTGTATGGTCGATGTATCCCGTCTTTCATTGTAACAGCGGTGGAGGCTGCAAGTGGTCTAATCACAGATTCAAGTAACCATACCCTAGTAGATGCTAATAACCAAACTATCTCACTTGATGATTTAGAAGCTGCTCAAATGTAAGTTATTGTGAACTCTGTTATCTCTTCCAATCAAATTGCAACAATTTGCATATATTAGCAAATATTTTGCATATATAAGCATATGTTTTGCATATGTTAGCATACATTTTGCATATGTTAGCATACATTTTGCATATATGTTAGCATACATTTTGCATATGTTAGCATACATTTTCATATATTAGCATACATTTGCATATATTAGCATATGTTTGCATATATTAGCACACATATGCATATATTAGCACACATATGCATATGTTAGCATACATTTTGCATATGTTAGCACACATATGCATATGTTAGCATACATTTGCATATATTAGCATACATTTGCATATATTAGCATACGTTTTGCATATGTTAGCATGCAAATTTGTATATGTATCAGTCTATCCTATCAAGTCTGAATTCAATTGTTATGAAATTGTTTTATATACCCTTTATACATTGTATAGTTCAATCCATGTGGTTACCGATACTTTGGTTTCCACTTATCAGTCGTTACTTTGTGTGTGTGGCATTCTCGCATTGACTTCATATAATTTCTAATTGCAGAGCTCTTGCATATTATATCAACGCCAGAGCCATTGCTGATAAAGTATTTGATGATATCACAGAGACGTGGACGTTTCTCATTGGGTGAGTTACTTGTGCTGTTATGTAGTGAAATCTGAAAAAAAAGTTTGACCCCCAATCATCCTGTACTTTGTACTTCTATGTTGCATGAGAAGAGTGTGTGGCTGTGATTTGGCTCGGAGTATAACCACTGTATACTATAGGTTGGAACAATTAACGAAGTCGGAAAGTTTCATGTCAGGATTGACATTTATTGAACTATGAAATGGGAAACATCTACATCAGCTTGAAACAACAAAATAATAATGGCAGAGCCGCGAGGTTCTCAAGTGTCACATGACACGAAACTCAAGTTGTGATAGGTTGGTTCTAAACCAATCACTGATCGGGGTAATATAGTCATAAGGATCATAATAGAAATACGAATAATCTAAACTAAACATCAAAGTTATCGCTGCACAGAAATAATACAGCAAATGGAATGATAATAGAAAACATTTTGATGTCTAAGTAGACAATTCAACTTAATTAGCAAACACACCTATGGTTTGTATCTTGCTCTGACAGAGTGTAAATTGGTTTAAGGAACCAAGATGAAAAAGCGAGTTTCATTCCAAATATTAAAAAAATGTTTTAGTGTATGTGCCATAGAGAATTAAGTGAGTGAAAATGGGACAAAAATATGGGCATTTTGATCAAGGCAGATTGTTAACAAGATGTTTTAGTTGTAATGTCATCAGTGAAGTAAAATATAGTGGAATATTAATTTTGAGATTGGGGACAAAACATCCCTAAGTATGTGTCAACCATGACCCATTAGCGTATGTGAAAATAGTAAGAACTATACTACCATATTTGCTCTATTAGAAGAGCATCTTTAATTACCAGTGCATACAGACTAAAAATCACTGACATTTGTTGTATACTGAATCATTAAAATATTACTTATTTTAACCATAGAAACAAAAACTTGTAATTTATGTAAGTGTATGCGCTACTAATAGAACAAATACAGTAAATGCGTATTACAGAATTCATGTGCGTTCCGTTTTAATGAAAGTATATTTGGAGGATGGTTCACCGTGTTTGTTTTGACGAAAATTGGTTCATTATTGAAGGTTGTTCTTTTCACCTGTAATAATTGGGCAATGGAAAGTTTTTGTTTCGGTATGAACTCCCAAGTTTTTATTTCTGAATTAATGATAGATTTTTTTTTTTTTCAGTGGAGCGGTAATTGGAATGCTTATTAGTTTCATTTTCATAGTATTAATGAGATGGATTGCTGGTATTGTGGTTTGGTTAATTATTATACTCTTATTTCTGTTGCTGGCCCTTGGTACGTATAGAATGACACTTAAATGTAATTAATAAAATTAGATGGTAGTGAAATAATGTCCAAAATTAGTTGCATAAACATTTGAAAAGATGCATCTCTCCAAATAATTCAAAGCTACGCTGATATCATACAAAATTCTGAATTGTTTGTGTTACGAACGTGACTTACGAACGTGACTTACGAATGTGACTTACGAATGTGACTTACGAACATGACTTACGAACTTGGGTTACGAACGTGGGTTACGAAAACATTCAGTTACATAAATGACCACACCACTATTTTTGAAATCATGCCCACTTTTGCAAAATCTTGCCCAAATTGTAACTTTGAGTTACGGGCAACATATATTTGTAACTGTTAATTCAAGTTTGAGTTACTAAAAGTATAATGCTCAACAAAAACTAAAAATGTATGTTGATCGTAACTTGAAGTTTGGTTAACTGTTGATTGAACATTGAGTAACAATAGACCATTTTCCGTTTACTGCGAGAATCACGCGTTATGCGTGAAATCGAACGTAAAAAACAGGACAAACAAAGGTCATAGCGTCGTAGTCGCGTCAAACATCGCGTGGGATTCGACAAACGCGAAGTATTTTGGGTGACATTTCCATGTCAATAATGTGCTGTACACATTTGATGATGGGCAATTTCGACTAAGTGAGGATATTCGAATGCAATATTCCTCTGTCGAAGATCGGCCGGTCGATGTGAGCTACGAAGAAAAGAAATTTGAGTTCAAAATCAAATCGTTCGATTTTTGCGGCAGACGTTCGACGCGCGTCTTTCATGCATCTCGCGAGATCTCGCAGTTGTACGGAAAATCACCTATTCAGATGTTGTTTCTAAAATATGGGTGTGGTCACTTATGTAATTAGATGTTTTCATAACTCCTTTTCATAATTTGATTTCTGTAACTTGATGTTCGTATCTCAGCTCCTCATATCGACTAAAATCTCTAAGCGGCTTGTTTTTCCTGAACTGAAACATAATTGGTCCAGTCATAATTTGTCCACTAAATACAACCTTCATTATTAATTTCAATCCCTTGCATGTCAAAGTCATCTTTTGTCACCGTTTGTAAAATTACTGTCACAGCGATAATAATCTGCTAGGCAATGTTTCAATTTACATGTGCATCGCTGTTTCACTAACAATATCATTATACATCAAGCAGTATTGCTTATAAATTAATGAACTCTTGTAGGAAACACAATTACGTCTATTTGGTTAAAAATTAACAAGGAAATTTCAAGAAAATATCTAAAAATGTGTCGAATGTAGCTCCAAAATTGTGTTAAAATAAATAATTTAAAATCTGTCCATCAGTATTTTGATACTGTCCAAGAAGTGTTAGTTCTTTATCTGTGATGTTTGTGTTTAGATGGATTACTTTAATTAAGACTACCGGTATATAATAGGTCTGAAATTGCCAAATCACATTTTTTGCAAACCATATTTGCTTTATTGAAAAATAACATGCATTACATAAACACTGTTTGATTAACATAAACAATACCTAAGGCATTTATTCATCCACAATACTGTAAAAGGGTTAATTATTCAGTGGGTTTTAATTTTGCTTATTTCGCTGACTAGAAAATGTGCTAAATTAAAACCCAGTGAATATGTAAAATATATATATATATGTAAAATTTAGCATAGAACACCTTATCTAAATGGTAAAATTGTGAATTAAAAATTTCCACTAAATATGCCTGAAATGGTAAATCAGCGAAATTTAAATCCAGTGAAAATTAGTCATTTTACAGTATATATATATATATATATATATATATCTCTCTCTCTCCCTCTCTATATATATCTCTCTCTCCCTTTTTTTTTTTGGTACCATAAGTGTATGTTTGTTATAAGCAGTTTACGATTTCCTTATTGTCGTTATAACCCCCCTAGGCAACTCATAAAAATGTCCAGGAGAATAGGCTTATTGGGATTAAAATTGTCAAAGTCAAAATAAACACAAGATTGTTCAAAGGATAGGGAGATACATTTTTCAAATCAGTTTATTTTATATCAGAAATATTGTGCAGTTTTTGCAACTGTTTTACGCATGTGACTGAAACATTTATTTTATTGCAGGTATTTACTTGTGTTACACTGAATACGCTGAATTAGCCAGTGTTGATACTTCATCCATTGAGTTTGAATTCACAACAAATCTTACAAGCTATTTAGACATGAAGGAAACATGGCTGGCTTTCAGTAAGTTGAATGTTACACTCTTTTCAATATTGATAATGTTAGCATTCATGTGTGAATAATAATACTAGAAAAACTATTGAAAGTAGCATGTGTGTGCTAAAATGTAAAAATGGCTACCCTGTTTTTCAAATTTTATAAAAAAAATGTATTTCCAGAGATGCATCTTCTGAGGTAGTCACTGTGAATGCCCCTAAAATCATGAGTGATCGTGACCTACACTAGAATGGTCTTACTAGAATTTGGATGTATGGCATGTATAATTCACACATGTAATTTTGAATTGAAATGACGTAAAATAACTCAATCATGAGTCAAATCAAGACACGCAACTTTTCACTAATTTTGAAAAACAATGGATGTACAAAAACACTGATTTTTTATGAGCTGGCAGGCATTCACAATCAATGTATTTCATGACTAAAAGCAGCTTAAAAATTTATGGAAGAAAAAGAAAATTCTTTGTTACTGCAAGTGTGTGGGATTACGTTTGAATTGTAGGGCTTTGTTCACTTTTGTTGCCAACATGATTTTATAGGTTTTCATAGCTTACAGTAGTTTTAAATTGTGAGTCTAATTTGCACAAGACGTCTGTATGTAATCAAGTGCTTGTCTCCGGTCAATCTCTCACGTATGGGTGCAAAGCACAAAAGGAATTCATTACTTATTATTTTCAAGTGGCTCAGAAAGAAAAGTTGCAGAAATGTAAAGGGGTTTGTCAATAAACACCTTGACATGCACGACTCTCACAACTAACATGACAAAAGTGGAGTTCACACCATCCCTGAGTGCCTTGTGGTTAAGACACAGAAAGTAGAAATATAATTGGCAGGGTTGGTTGCCCTTGCATACCAAGAGAACAAGACATGAGCTATTAATGGTCTGAGACCTACAACCAGTGGGTGTTTCTTAGATTGTATTTTGGTGAAACTTAATGAAATTCAATAAAAGTTTCTGTTCATGATGAATAAACATCTTTTATTTAATTTTTCAGCTATCATCCTGGGTGTAGTTCTTGCTATTCTGATTTTGATTGTAATATTCCTGTTTAAGCGAATCAGACTGGCAATTGCATTGATCAAAGAAGGCAGCAGGTATGGCATTCAATCCACCTTTTCTTACCTGTACCTGATCTTTCTATACAGCATTATAACTAATTTTGCAAAATCCACTGATGTTCAGGAAAAAAATAATTATATATTTCTGATATGGAGAAATAGTATTTATTTAATTGTCATGAGAGTATATGCAACTCGTTCCTGGAAAAAATTTCTTGGCCAAATTTGTTTTCAGAAGTTTGTTGGACATTTTTTACCCTATGAAATGAATGTGCTAAATTACATTTTCAAAAGATCAAATAAGTTTCTAAAATTAATTTGAACAATATTTCAATTGTTGTATAATGGCTCTAGTGCTAATCAATCTCACATAGAGTACCGGTAATTTATAACAACTGTTAATTTATGAATCAAAAATTGCCTAAATGTTTAAAAATGAAATTGTTAAATACTGTAAAATACTTTATTTTTGTTTAGAACTTATTTTCGGAGAAGGAATGATTCAGTGAAATGAAATCCAGTGAATACTGTTAAATACTTTATTTTAGGTAGAATTAATTTTTGCTGAAAGGACTTTTTGTGTTTTTTGTATGGAATTTATTTTCACTGATTTTTGACAAGTAGAATGTAAAATGTAGAAAAAAAAGGTATATTCGCTCGATTTTATTTTCACTGAATCAATTCTGAAGCGAAAATAACGAAAATTAATTCCAACTGAAAATAAAGTATTTTACATTCACTGATATATCAGGGTAAATAAACTTGATACAAAAGACCCAAAAAGTATCTTTACATTACTGTAAGCATTCTATTCATTGGACAATGAACACCTAATAATTTTTGGAGGTGGTGGAATTGCCAGAAAACTATTTATATTTGAACTCAAAAAGTCTTTAAGGTGTAAGTAGTCTGTAATAATTTGATAAACGACTCAATTTAGTTCATTAAATTTACATTCCTACTTTCTATCAAATGCTGAACACGTTGTACTGATTTTGTGATCACCATGAAAAAATAACATCAGTTGCTATGGCAACAAATCCTGGAATATTGTAGCACCAAACCTAGCATGCACTGTTTTAATTGTGCCTTATGTCAGTTGCACTTGATTACCTAGGTTCTTTATTTTTTCTTTGGTTGCAGGGCAGTTTCAAGTTGTATGTTCACACTTTTATGGCCTGTCATTCCATTTTTGCTTGAGGTTGCGCTATTTGCATTCTGGATTGTGTTAGCTGTTTACCTAGCCACCTCTGGTAGTGCTACTTATGCCATTGCCAATGCACCTACTGACTATCCTATTGCTAATGGTACATCCTGTGATGTCACAGTAAGTATATTTTCATCGGTCACTGGTAGGATAGCGGTTGTAGCATCGGTAGTAGACCCAAGTTCAAATCCTACCTGATGTTGAACACCAAAAACTGTCATGTGCCACAGACTTGATGACCAAGATTCATTAACTAATAGATGGAACTTTGGGGAAATCACAGTAAGGTTCCAAGGTTATTGACAGGTTAATGCCAGATAGCACATCAAATTGCCTTTTGACAGAAAGATTGCCACAGACAGCCCAGTCATGTAGTCCCACACATGGATATAAGGTGTTCGTGGCAAAATGCACTATGTATCAGCTGTTGCACATGAAATTTGAACATAAAAAGTCAGGGGAGACAACAGTGACATTCAGTATAATAAAATGAAACCTACCGGACTCTGACATAAATTCGCCCATCCAAAAAATCGCCGTTATATTGATCATCAAATATTTTTTTTGGGGAGGGGCTTATATTTTCATTGAAAAATCCACTTTCGTTGACTTTCAACGCCAGCAGTTGGACCACCAAAAACAAAAAAAATAATTATTGCAGAAGCTGATCTAAGATTTTATACATTTTTTTTCTTGCTGGATTAAAAAGTAGACCACGCATCTTTCTCCCGAAAAAATCACATTAACAAACCTTGTGCGCCAAATACAATTATTTTTTTTTGCATTTTATTAGTAACGAAAGTACATTCTAAAAGAAAAAATGTTTTATTTTCTAGCTGTTTGATGGCAACAACACCGGAGCACAGTGTATCTTTGTTGAGTACAGCGGAGATCCCAATCTTTTTCGCATGCAGATTTATATTCTCTTTGGACTGTTTTGGATTATGAATTTCATCGTTGCATTGGATCAAATTGTTCTGGCTGGAGCGTTCGCTTCATATTACTGGGCTTTCACAAAACCTAAGGATATTCCAGTGTTTCCAGTCTCTTACTCATTAGGAAGATCGTTAAGGTAATTTTTCTTTATTCATGTTATCAAATAAATAAAAAGATGAAAGATATCCACCTACAAAATAGTAAACAAGAGATTCAATGAATCGTTTTGTACTACTTATCGCCTCCAGAAGGCTTTCCACAGGACGTAAAAATATGTATATTTTGACATATGATGAAAAAATAATACTGTAGAATACTTTATTTTCGCTTGGAATTTATTTTCGCTATTTCCACTGAAGGGATGATTCCGTGAAAATAAAATCCAGCGAATATACTTTTTTTCCTATATTTCACATTAAACTTATCAAAAATCAGTAAAAATAAATTCCATACAAAATGCCCAAAAAACCTTTTAAGCGAAAATTAATTCCAGCGAAAATAAAGTATTCCACAGTATATAATGTATTACATGGTACTTTTTGATGTATAAAAGTATTACAAAATTTACAGATTTTTTAGTGGATTTTTTCAATATACTCTATGAAAACTGCTACTATTTTTAGCATATTATTTAACAACTTTATATGTGGACAAGTGAGTAATATGGACACATGTCAAAAATGCACGAGTAGCATTCTACCTTAAGCATGTGTGTGTAGGAAGTTTTTTTTTACACCAATAAAATGCTTGTCCTTCGCAGGTATCATTTAGGGTCCTTGGCCTTTGGTTCTTTTATCATTGCTGTCATACAAATAATCCGAGTGATGTTGGAATATCTTGATCATAAACTGAAAGGTAAATAGACATCACGAGTACATGTGCTTGTGGTCAAAATCTTGTGGTCAAAAAATAGCTTTAACCACATATGGCTTGTAAATTTTCAAAAAAAAAGTATTTTTTCGTTGTTTTGAGAAGATCTTAGGAAGACATTCTGCTAAAATCTGATGATTGTGTGTCGCTGTTCTGATTCAGAACAAACTACGAATTTCAACATTCAGAAATATATTTTACCATCCTCCATCTTCTTTAATTTAATCTGTGTGTATTTACGAATCATTGTTGATTTTGTTCAGCATAAAGTAAGTTTGCTGTAGTGAGTTACCTGTTGATTTTCTAAACCATTACATGAAACTACCTTATTTTCTTTATACAGGTTCAGAAAATAAAGTTGCCAAGTTTTTATTGAAGTGTATGAAATGTTGTTTTTGGTGTTTGGAGAAATTTATGAAATTTCTAAACAAGAATGCATACATTATGGTGAGTATATTGTACTGCAGAAGTTATTGTCAACACCAGAGGGCGCTATCTTATTCCAATTCAGTAAACTGGTCAAATAGAAGAAAGAAAATGGGGTCCTTGTTATGTCATGTGCTTATGTGATCTTTCTGACAGCGTTCCCATAACTTGTTTGATTCACACATACATCTATGTAGTAACAGCAGCACTGAACAGTGCCATTGTTTTGGGGCAAGTGCGAAAAACTAGTAACTAAGCAACAAGTGTATCTAGGAAAAGAACAATTTGCCTCTAGAGGGCGTACATCATGACACCTGTTGAATATTTTACCTAAGATTTAGCAATTTGTGTGTATTTTTATAATTATCATGTTTTATTTCATTCAACCAACGTGTTCAAACATACTGTCATACCTGCTATTTGTATTACCCTCCCATTAATTAAAGCGAGAGGGTTGTCACTTGTGCGGGAATTGAGTCCCAATCGACGATAACAACGCGCTCTAAAAACGCAAAGGCTCATGGATAGAGGCTTATTTGTAAACAATGACACGCTATGGCCATCTGACGCATGCGCAGGTGACGACTCCCCAGCTTTAAAATTAATACTAAATTTATTTTTATTTTTTTTCTCTCTCATTCAGATTGCTGTTTATGGCAAAAACTTTTGTACGTCTGCAAAGAATGCCTTCTTCCTACTGATGAGAAACATTGTCAGGTGAAATTTCAGATTCCCATTTGTAGATTTTAACTTGTCATTAAAGTGCTGTAAAATATTTTCGCTTGGAATTAATTTACGCTATTTTCGTTGAAGGAATGATTCAGTGAAAATAAAATCCAGCGAATATACCTTTTTTTCTATATTTTACATTCAACTCGTCAAATATCAGTGAACATATGTTCCCTACAAAACACCCAAAAAGTCTTTTCAGCAAAAATTAATTGCAGCTAAAATAAAGTATTTTACAATATATGAAATTTGGGGTTTGATTGTTAATAGAATTCAACATCTGTTGTGCTGATAATCATAACTAGGCATAACTAATTTAAATTATATGTCTACATTTTAGAGTTGTTGTTCTGGACAAGATTACAGACTTCTTACTATTTCTTGGCAAATTGATGGTGACAGCAGCGGTTGGCACACTCGCGTATTTCTTTTTCACAAATCAAATATCTTGGTATGAGACGTACTTAAGTGATTATTTAGGTTCTGTGCCAACTCTCAACTATTACTGGATACCCATGATTGTGAGTAATGATTTCTATTATCCACCACGTCTTTCATTTCATTCCAAGGCTTTATTTCTTTTCATTAGTTGCACATGCCCTTATACATAAATGCAAATACTTTTTAGTCATTGATGCAGTATACAACAAATTTTGGGGTTATATGCACTTATATAAATACAAGATGTAAATTGGGGTTCTCTATATACACTTCTATTCCTGCATAAAATTAAGTCAGAAGAAAAAGACAGATCTTAGTGCTTGTAACCAGGATGGTGTCCTGTGATGTAATCACGGGGATTGACTGTGACACAGTTGATTTAGTCATATGATTGATGAGGTTATGTAACCTTGGGATCTATGTACTGTGATATGCAATGCAGATGACGAAAGGAGTTCTGATCGTGCATCAATTGAACATATATTAATCAATGGCATGACAGAAAATAGACAATTGATTTGAGAGCAGGGTTATCACTGCATTCAAATACACATTTTGTGAAAAAAATAAAGGAAACTAGCAAAACTAAGCAAGACAAACACTAACCAGTTCATTCAAAGGCTTACTCTTTTTTCTATAAATGTCATGCATCTTCATCACATTTTACCAATTTGTTATATGTCTGTATTCATGTCAGCTATACATGGAGACTAAGCACCCAAATTCAAAACAAATATAAGTAATAGGTCATGTATTATTTGCAGTTTCATTTAAAAAACAATTCATCATCAAATTAATTAATTAATTAATTAATTAATTAATTTTGCCATAAAACACTGAGAAATGATACAAGATGAAAAAAGGGGTACCGGTATATCTCTCGTCTTTTCTGATTTTCATCACACCCTGCACTAAATAAAAATTAATTGGAAATTGTTCCTTAAGTCCTCCTAACCTGAACCCTGAACCTAACACTCCATCCCCCTATTGTAATTGTATATGCCCCTTGAAATAACATTGTCCTGAAGAGAGGTCTATACAATTAACACTGGGGGAGAGACACTGGAGGGGCAGGGGATTATGGGTGAAGGGGCCCTAAGGAACTCTTACCAATTAATTAGTATCACAGTATAACCACATTCTGGTTCACCTTTACTCTGGGTGAAAATCAATAGTTTGAAGATAAATCTGTTTTGTTGCAGATTATTTGCATTTTAACCTACTTAATAGCATCCATCTTCTTTAGCGTGTACAATATGGCTATCGATACGCTGTTTCTCTGTTTCCGTAAGTACATTGATAGTTTACGAATCTTAACAATCGATGGTGAGAATTGTTTTACCATGCTTATGTTATATCTGATTGATTGTACAGGCTGTGAACCTATAAACATTACCTAAACACCTTAAAAAAAATTCACTTAAGGATGTAGTAGACTTAAAAGTACCACTGTCACAATATCATATTTTTAAATGTATTTATTCAGATTCTTTTTTTTCTTCCATTTTTAGTTGAGGACTTGGAGAGACATGACGGTAGTGCTGAGAAGCCTTACTACATGAGCAAAGAATTAATGAACATCGCTGGAGCCAAAAATGATAAAAATGTGAAAAAGAAATAAACGTATATATTTAATTATTTTTAATCAAAACATTTTAATACAGAAATTATTTTTATGTCATATTACAAAACTTCATTTTTAGATCTACATAATTTTTTTTATCCTTATACCTTTCTCAACTCTATTTACTAAATATCTAGTTTTCTACAACATTCATTTTGATTGGTTCACATCTAATTATTTGCATGCCATCAGCCAATTAGTTTGGATATTACTAAAATGAAATGTATAATTGGGAAAGCATATTGATTAAACAAGAATTGAAAAACCGTCCAGATGATTTAAGATTTTAATTGTCCTTAAAACCCCTGAGTGCCATAATATTGTACATTTTGTCTGATATTATTTTTTTATTAATTTTTTATTTCAATAATTTTTTTTCAATTTTGGACGTAATTAACAAGTCTTAATCAAATTTTAGATAGAATTGTGAGTTTAAAATTTGTGAAATGTGACAAAAGTTGGCTGTGGCACTCAAAGGGTTTAAAGTCGGCTTGTTTTGTACTACTAGTGGTTGTATGTCACCAAAATTATGTTTAGGGATTAGCCTTACCGAAAGTAGAACATCATCGAGCAATTTCGTAGCTTCAGTTGTAATTGAGTTTTCAGCACCTTTGGGGGTCATCAAGACAACAAATCATACACAGGATTATCTGTTCGATGAATGAAGATGGACTATATTATGAATTTAATATTAATGTGTAATTTCCATCAAAATTAATCGTACCATTATCTCCTACCTTATTACAAAATATGAATTACAATATGGCTTGATATTTTCAAGATGGCAGATATTTTAAAATGAAAGTTCATATCAAGAAAGTTAGGCTAATTTCCACAATATTGCTTAGTTTTAGGGTACTCACACGAAGCGATTAGGTCAAGAAGTCGATGTGACATTGACCTGTCATGTATACTATACCATCATTTGCAGTAAACCAATAGGGGATTTTCCGTACAATTGCGAGATCTCGCGAGATGCATGAAAGACGCGCGTCGAACGTCTGCTGCAAAAATCGAACGATTTGATTTTGAACTTGAATTTCCTTATTTCGTAGCTCACACCGACCGGCCGATCTTCGACAGAGGAATATTGCTTCCGAATACCCTCACTTAATCGAAATTGCCTATCATCAAATGCGGACAGCACATTATTAAGCATGGAAATGTCCCCGAAATACTTTCGCGTTTGTCGAATCCCACGCGATGTTTGACGCCACTACGACGCTATGACCTTTGTTTGTCCTGTTTTTACGTTCGATTTCACGCATAACGCGTGATTCTCGCAGTGTACGGAAAATGGTCTATTAGTGTGTCTTTACATGCTTTCATTAATAACTTCCAAGGCATACAAGGATATGAATAAGTTTTTTACCCAACAGTAAAACAGCGCATATAAAACTTAACACTATTTGCTATAATCACAGCGTAAATAATAAACCTATGGATCAATATACGAGGTAAATTTCAATACAGACAGGTCGTATCAGTAATTATTAACGATGTGCCTTTATACAATTAAATTAAGTTACACTGTGGAATACTTTATTTTCGCTGGAATTAGTTTTCACTGAAAAGGCTTTTTGGGCGTTCTTTATGGAATTTTTTTGATGAGTTTGAATGTGAAATATAGGAAAAAAAGTATATTCACTGGATTTGATTTTCACGGAATCATCCCTTCAGTGAAAATAGCGAAAATAAATTCCAAGCAAAAATAAAGTATTCTACAGTATTTGTTTTTAAACTGGATGATGGTTTACAGTCTATATTAATGACTTTAGTATTTTTTTTATGTGTATATATACTAAACATCATTCCAAGTAATAAGACAGTGGTAAATTTGTTTCAATATAATGACATCAGTATTTTTTTGTCATATGTATATAAACAAGACATTATATATCTACAGTCTTTCCATTATATTTTAATTTTAAACCTCTGACAGTATTTTAATATTGCTTCTATATTTACCATGTCATTAGATTGCAGGTGGTTTGAGTTTCAAAAATCATATGGTTTATTTATAGTCATGTGACCTATTTGCATACTTGTGGGGGGAAATGTGATTGGCTATTTGGTATCATAATACATTTTCCATCATGTGATTGGCTGTTTGACATCACATGATCTTGCTTATTAGATGATTGTGTCAGCTTTACAACTTTAGATCAGATTTCATTTTAAATTTGTAGAGAGATTTTTCACCCACTTGAATTTTACAGTTGGAATAGAAATGAAAAGGTTATACATACTTTTATGCATTCCTTGCACCCTTCTTTTGTAAGTGGTACTACCCTTTATGACATATAGGGGTGCTGACGTTATGTTAAAATATATATATGCAGGAATGACAGCATTATTGGAAATCAGTGAAAACTGCTTGAATTAATAAATATACTGTACAGAAATTGGTAGTAGGTAATTGTAGTTCTGTAGCATCTATGTTTAAGGTAGTAAGAAAGGTACAAGTGATTGCCACGAAACATCTGGTTATATTAATTAATTACTGAATACTTTACCTTTTTAAATGTGGGAGAAAAATTTTTTTTAGATTTTTATTATAACTATTTATCACCTTGTAGATTCTAGATTAACTAGAGCGGGTGCAATCTTTGTAATTTTTAGAAAAGAGGAATATTTTTAGAAACTAGCTGTGCAAATAATGTTTTTTATAATAAATCTGACATGATTTTGTGAAGTGTTTTCTGAGTGAAGCAATAACAATATTATGTCATAAAGGCAAAGATTTTACACTCATTTAAAATGTTTAACTCAATATGGTCAAATGAAGATCAGTATTCAGATTTGTCATTATTCAGATAAACATTTTTTTTCTCTCACAAGGATCTTTATTTTATGACTTTTGTAGTAACACAATTTTTTGTGATGGAATGAAAGGAGTGAGCTCACATCCTCTCTTAATTGCTTTTTGATTCAAGGTGGACTTTTCTTTTTATAGAAGTAAACATCAGATTTACAGGCATTACAGCAAACTTAATACTTCTTTTTTAAATATTATTTTAAATTATTTTTTGTTTTACCTTGTAAATCATTTGGAATATCATGTGAACTATTGAAGTATACTAATGAAGTTTTTAAATTTACAATGTTCAGCTTGGTATGAAGTGTCTGAATCAAGCTAACATTGTTCTGTGGTACAAGAAATGTTTTTACTGTGTAATAACTTATCATGCTTTTTTAAAAATTAAAAACTATTTTAAGATAATTGTGATTATAACTTTGTGATTCTTTGTATGATAGCCCTGATAAAGTTGGGTGGATTTATGCATATTGATAAAGGAGTGGAGTTTGTTTGATGTGCGCATGTTCAACATTTGTGTTGATAACCATTGATTTTCCCACAATCAAATGCGCACTTCAAATGAAAATCACAAGTGAGCTTTGGCCCTGGCGTGACTTGCACTGAATACCGCCGGTGACTCCTTCGATATCTACCATTCACCTAAAAATTACCTAATTAAAGCTTGGAAACGTCTCAGTGTGTACTCGCTGATCTGCGCAACAGTCAAAGTCACCATCTTTGTGTATATAAGATTTATATATTTCGCACATGCGTGGCACGACGACTACCGCCCTTTAACAATCAATGAAGAGCAGTGTGTGTAATGTATAGTAGTCAGGAAATAATTCTTTCCTAGAACACAAAAAATAATGTAATTTATTGAATATACCTAGTATATTTAATCCTAAAAGTATTTTAACCTAACAGCTAAGACCAAAAAAGAATTTTGCATGATATTTTTTTTAATGTGTCTTACCACCGGTTTTGCAGCAAGGTGAATTCTAACATTGTCGCTGAGGGCAGTATACAACCAATGGAAGGCGAATGTACAGAAGTGGGATACGGACTTGAGATAATGACTGAAAATGAATCTAGAAAGATCAGTGAAAACTGCAATATAGGTTATCATTATTCAGAAATATTTATTTTCAAACTAACATTCTCGGTGAATGTAAAACGAGTGGCTAGTTTGTAACTAAACAAACTTAATTCAAACCACTATATAATTAAAGCGCGGTGGTCGTCGCGCTGCGCGTGTTTGAATTTCATGTAAATAAACAATGTATTTCACACGCGTTGTATACGTCGCTATGAGTCCCATATCAAACAGGACGCGGCACGACGCCCGCCGCCCTTTAATGCGATGCTGAGAGTACAGATTGAATCGAGTAATACCGGTACATTTTTCCTATGAAACACTCTTTTTCCTATAAAACCATCTTGCGACGAATCACTTCTATGACGTGACACAAGGCTGGTCAAACGTCTATAACACCTGGTCTGTAGTCTCCCATCAACGAAAATTATGTTTGAGATTTTACTATATTCTAGATAACAAACTACTACACAACCGAACAAAGTTTTCGATGTGAACGACATTGGCTGGATCCATATACTAGTCCGTTTTTTGTTTTGTTTTTGACGTCATATATGCATTCTGTCACTGGAGGGCGCGACTTAATGAATAGTGTATTACGTCACAGTCCCTCCACAACGTGGATGGACTGTGATTACGTGCATGAATTCAAACTGTTCAAGACTTGTCAAAATGAGGAATTGACTGCAAATGTATCTTATTATTTTGCCTAGCAAATAAAGAACGGTATCCATCTTGTTATAGCTCTACGCCCTACCATGGTGGCCGTATGTTGAATAGGCAAATTCTTCGCTTGTCGTTGACACAAGAGCGCCCCTTAAATTTAAAATTAGTTGTTTTGTTTTCATAGCATTTATTTTTACACGACAGACAGCAAAGGTCAAACATTCACACTAATTTACCCAGTCCACTCTGTCGCCTCGGTCAGAACGACACATGTACATAAGTTAATCGAAGTTTTTTGTGCCCGTATCTTGTCATCGGGACTATTTTAGTATTGGTTACATAATTTATGCTACTAAATTGTGCTTCATTGACGAATAATTAATAAAGCATCGTATTTCTGGCAATAACAATCGTCGTCGCATAGCAACGTAATACATGTCAACTATTAACAGGGGATACCAACAGAAAATCGATAAAACTGGGAATTCGCCCGACTCTAACCAATCAGATTAGTCATAGCATATCACGTGTTCTTGTCATTATCTCTACATGTCATCTCCTGTCATCAGGGCTAATCTAAGCGTCTTGTCGTTGCTGTTCTTATGAGTTATAGTCATTACAGTCGACAATGGGAAAGAAAAACAAAGTTGAGCACTCGGACATTGAAGGATCTGCCCATGACAGTTCAAAAGCAGATAAGAACAAAGACGGTGAGTGATTTTATGCGCCAATTGATCAAACTGAAAAATTACAATATTATATTGATTGTCCGCGTTGGAAGTGTTTACGTTTGCCATCGATGACAACATAAAAGCCTCGTTCCGTACCCCATAAGTATCTTGTGTAAAAATGAGCTAAGTTTCAGTTTGTAATATAGACAGCCTCAAAATCCGGGTTCGTTCAACTACCAAAGGTCGAATTTATATATTTATCTACTCTAGCGAGTAATAACTTTAGTTTAGAGCGCAGCTGTCATTTCCTTGCTGATCTATTTCAGAATGATGCTTTAAAAAAAAACATGGTTACTGTGCTATTTCAGTAGCATATTCTGCACGGAGAAGATGAGGTGGCCCTCTGGACAATATGTAAATGTTTACTTTGTTCTTTCTTTGCATGTAATGAAGGAAGATGTGGTAACGAGTTATGTTAATGTTGTCATTGTTGTAGTAGTTGTACTGAGTAAGTCGCGTGTGGTTACAATAACTCAAAAAGTTTGTATCCGATTGTTTAAAAGACAGTATAACATATCGGCTAAGATTTTTGCGCAACGCTCTAATTATGAGCTATGATTATATGTATATATATATATGGTTTCAAAGTCTATACAAACTATTATATGTTGTGCTTTAAACATTGAGTGTTATATGAGCTGCCAACTTATTGTTTCACGGGGAAGGAAGTTTTTACCAGCTATCTAATAAATCCTTCACTTTAAATTTGAAAAGTCCAGAGAATGGTATAATTTACCAATCATCAAAAATGACAGTAATTACCAGTAATTCGTTATGACTATAATATTATACACGCAGAAATTTAAACCACTAGAAAATATGAGTTTTATAATAGCAATTTTCGAAGAATGGCAAGTTTGCCGACTCATCGTCATGTATAGCCGTGGTTTCCCGGCGTTTTGGGTCCGGGAAGGTATTTTGCTTCGTCTGTCAATTATATATACATCGTCGGTATAGGGTCACCCGAACAAAAGCGCAACCACTTGCGCCAATGGGGCGCAAGGGATGGTGAGCATATCTCCTCTACGCAGCCCCCCCCCCCCCCCATGCACAATTTCGTTCCACCGCCTTTGCAATAGCAGAAAATCATTCTTCAAACCATATGCATGACCGGAAATTACATCAACATAATTATATTTGTTTACAAGATATGTATGTATTGTCATGCTATTGTATTGATATGCGTCCGTATTTACATATATTGTTTAAACAAATTTTAACACAAGGATAAGAAACATTTTAGGTGATCTCATTAGCTTGCAGAGTAGCATCTATTGACTGTCGACAGTCCTCGGGCCTAATGTAAATATGTATCATAGACTAACGGCATTCCTGTCCCGGCGTTCGCAATGTATTCACGCCTATTATGTTCATACACAATATATAATAATAATAACAGATTAATATTAGGTACGACCCACTGTTGACAGTCTATAGCATCTAGTGAAGATCCCGTAGTTTCTTACGTGAGCTCACCAACTCTAGTTACTCAATGAAGATAAAGCATGTATATTCATGAATAATATGAGTAATGTAACCACACTGTACCATAAACCTTTTAAATAATTCATGCTTAAATAACAACGCTGCAAATTTTCATAAATATTCTTTTTTTATTTTATTCCTGTTATCTGGTTGACAAATTAAATATATCGACAATTTGCCAGTGAATAGAATATAATTTACACATTGTCTTATTGTATATGTAGTAAGTTATACCAGCTCATAGAACGACATAATACTTATAATAATATACTTTAGTATTATAAATCTGTCACCGTAACGCCATAAGTTGCAGTGTGCCGTAATTTTGCGGTATTGCACTGGGTATTTTCATCTTACCATATTAGGAAACGCGAATTACATGTAAACAAGCAATCTGATTTGCATACGAATATACAGTAACATTTGATTTTGGCAAGCAATTCATTCACCATGATTTATAACAACGAAAATCAACAAGGACCAATCATGTTTTCCGAGTATTTGTCATGTCATACTCTTCTAGCAACTACCAAACTGATATGACTCACTGTGCAATAACCAGAAGGCTGTAATGCGTGTTGGTACTTCAAGCCTTGCCGTTTGAAGCCAACAATGATGAAACCATTTTATTTCTATGTGCATCACAGAAATAATACTTCACGCAACTAATATCACAAATAGCACATTAATTACAAGTAATTATAGAATAAGGAAAAGCATGATAAGCTAATGTTATTGTTTAGGACAAAGCAAAACTGAAATACTGTTCACTCCACCAAAATCACGAATATAGCAGTAGGTAGTATTAGGGAACCTTCTTTTGTGTTTAAAAAAATGGCATGCCCCTCCCATATACGACCTCCCCCAACGGCAGAAGAAATGGTCAGTCCCTTAAATCATTCAATCAACACGAACAGTTTCAAACTATATAATACAAACGCCGTTAAGATATGGCGATGGTAAAAGATATTCAGCAGCTACATGTTACTGGATTACCAATATTTCCTGGAAAACTTTGTTTCCTTTAATGCTGAGGCACACGTTTTTTTTCATTGGCGATGCTGTGGTTTTGGTTGGTAGTTATATATCTTAAATTTTCAAGAGCTTCTAAATTTCTGTTTTCGATTTCTTCTCTAGACACTATTATCTTCTGTTCTGATGTGATGTGATATGATGCCTAATATCAACTTGTTGCTCAGTCTACATGTGACGTCGTTTATTTGCCTCTGCGACCATGAGGTTCACATCTCTTTAAATTTGGTAGCTTTTTCACACCAAGTTTGTAGTTGATACATTGGTGTATGCAGTGAACGATCTGTAGATAACAGTGTTTTAGTATGTCAGCCAAATAGGCTATAGACAATGTTTCCATCCCTCTTTTAATGCGTTTCTCGAATTGGGTAGTGATAGGTAAAATCAGCACCTACTTCACGTGACCTCAACATCAGTGATTTGGCAGTTTTAACTGAGTTCTCCACTTTGTTGCTATTATATGGATACCCGGAGAATTTGTTATGTTTTCAAATCAGTTTGCTGTAGCGTATTCGCGGAATTGTTTGGAGTTGTATGGCATGTCGTCACTGAAGTATTAATTGGTTTACTGAGAAGTGGCGTTTTTATTTTCTTGATTTCTGATGCAGTCTTCTCATACAGGCATCCAATCTCAAACTGTAGTAATTTAACAGCCAAAGGTGGTAATATAATTCCTTTTGCTGTATCTTAGAATGTCTGAAGATATTTTCTCCCAAGGAAAATCAAGAACATCACAATATATCATTGGATATCATCGAGATCATTTTTTCTTCCTGCTCAATAAATGACTTCACTGGTTGTTTGGAAGTTGTGTAATTTGTCTCTCTCGTCTTAAATTTAATCAGTATTATGATACATCAAAAACCTTTGAATACTAGATGTGAAGGTTAGTTGAAAGGGTATTTTTGTTAATGGGCCATACCCTCAAGATAACATCTTTAATTGCTGAAGGATAACATCGTTCGCATTTTCCCTTTGGGTTTCTCTTAGTTGTTGAGAGAAGATTGGTAGAAAATTTATCATATACCCACTTCAATATCTGAGCTATCGAGAAACGCAAGAAATTTCCTCGTCACGTTTCTATCTTTACTTTGCAAGTGGTTGTCACGCCACTACTGTACTTGCATCTCAGTAGCTGACCAGACTACATTTTGTGTAGTTCCATTCTACATCTTGGTGAGTTTATCTTCTCGCATATTTCAGAGAGATGTTCACAGTACTTTCCTCCTTATACGTTGTCTTAACTCAGAATTGTCAGAGAGGCATTTATCAGCGAAATGATTCATTCCACCACAATATGAACATCGCTTGGCACAAACTGGGCTCTTGTGTACTAGCACCGAATTTGCATTTTTTTAACAATCTGTGGATGTATCACGATTAGTAATATGTGACGTACTCTACTTGCTGGCCGTGTTTCCCTTCTTTACGTGTCTTTTCTTCTTCTTCTCTACTTCACTGAAGGTTTAGTTGTGACTCAGCATCACTAGTTAATATCAAAGTTCTCAATTCACAATGAACTGGAAAGGTATCTATGTGAGGTCTTTATTCAAAAACAACTAATACAATTCTACAGTCGTGCTAGTAACATCGAAAACACATTATTAAATAAAACTTTTGTAGTAAACAAACAATTAAAAAGCAAATGTTATTCTGCAATCAAATCACATTTATTAATAAAACAAATATTAATCTCAAACAACAGATAAATGCAAACACAGGAATTATAGCATCAACATTGAACAACATTTATTACAAATTAAAAGAGACATTCAGTCCGATAAAGTGACCACTCACTAAAAATTGAATGATGTGGCCAATCTAATGTACCCGATAATAAACGAATCTGTGGACAATGCGATGGCAATAGCCTTGAAGACGAATAGCATTTTATATTGGCTTGTACCAAACGCAAAAAATTAAATTAATTTAGATGCTCTCACAATCAACTTTCTTAATTTCTTAAATGTTCTATAACGTAATTACGAAAGCACGCGTTAGTATAGTTACAAAAATATCTCCGCCCGAAAGGATGTATTAATGAATCTTCGTTGACAAATCATTGATAGAGCACCGTAAATCTGGCTAGTGGCCGTTGCCACAGTAACGCAATATAATAAGTCTGATATTAAAGGCGGACTGATAAAACATTGTTAAATATAGAGCTTAGCAGGAAATACTTACCGTTTTACAGCTATCATAACACCAATAATGACTTACTTTATAAACCAACACAAACTGTAGCATATCGAAAGGCTAGGGAATCTATACATGGATATATACAGGTGGAGATAAAGGTAAATCTAGGCTAGACTTTGCCCTGGTTTTTCGACTAAAAATTCCACGCCTGTTAAACATAAACAAAAACAATGTCTAACAGCTCATCACCCAAAACTGACTTGTTAAATATTTATTTAAAATATACAAACAACATATCATTTTGTGTTGTTTTTTTTGCATTGTTAATTAATACTTTATTCAATGCCGTTATTTAACCGATTTGACACCTTTGATCGTACAAAAGATACAAATTTCCGCGTAATCGAAATTCACGTAGATAACCATTGTCTAGTTTGTCAGGTAGTTTTCTAATGTTATGCCATAGTTGGATATATTATAAACTGTTGACGGCTTTATTATGCTTCAAAGCAGGTGTACCCAAATCATCATTAAATACAATCCCATTTCTTCTTTCACTTAAGTGTTTATATATTCAGAGCCATTTGTTTTAAGAGGATTTGGTAGTTTAGAAAATATTAGTGTTAATCGTTTGAAGTTGTTTATGTAATATCATTCATTTTAAAGATATTCCAAATGTTTGAAGAATATTCCCGAGCAGCTTCCATTTTTTCTTTCAAAAACATAATTTTCATTTCGGAATCCATTTTTTTTCGAATTAATGATTGAAAATACTTTTCTTTGTTTTAAAAATACTCTACTAATAAAGGTTTTATTTGGACATATTTCAGTAAATACAACATATTTATAAACTGTATACGTAGTACATGCATTATTATGATACGTTGTACGTGTAAAGTTATTGCAGAGGTTGTTTACCGTGGATTCTGGCTTTGCGGACGCTGATAGAGAGAAGAAAGCATGAAGGCTGCAGGGTTTACTTAGTATAGTTAATATTTAACAAGAGATACAACCATTAAACAGATGACGTTGGGAGATGCAACCGATTCTAACCAATCAGAATGGTCGTAGCGTATCACGTTTTCTGGTGGGCTTGTCAGTGTCTGTACAGGTCAAATGTAATCATTTGGGGGTATTAGATGGCTTATGGTTATAGTTTTTAAGAGTTTTAAATATAATAGTCGCCAGGACGATGGGACAGAAAGAGAAACATTATGATTACCCCGAGTCAGACAGCGATGAGTCGGACTCTGACAGGTCAACAGAAGAGACGAATAAATACGGTGAGTAACGGACTTTGTTTGTGATGCGCAAATTTAGTCGAACAGAAAAAATACATCGAGTAGAATGTTCGGGTTTTCGTTTGGCTACTGTTGACAAAATAAACGCCATGTTCAGTATCTCAAATGTATCCAGTATGAAATGTGTTCGTAGCCTCAGAATGGAGTTGAGAAATAGGTTTATTCTTCAGTTCCAGTTTAATGATATAAGTAGTGTGAATATACTGGTTGATTCAACAACCCAAGTTCGAATTTATTTGTTTATGCTAGTATGAGTTCCTCATAGACCTAAACATGTTTCCTGAAAATTTAAAATATTTAAAACATTTAATTTCGCGGTCGAATCAGCAGAATTATAGATAAAGCCTCTCACGGCCGATTCACGCGGAACGTAGATCCCATCAAATATGCTCAAAATGGTACAAAACTAATAGTTTGGATTACCAATGGGTGTTTTAATTTTTTTTAATTATCGTAAATGTAGATTCAAATAGTAGGTTGTGATGAATGTTTGTTGAGCTCTCATGTGTGCAAAGTTCAAATGGGAGGTAATGACGTTCTGATGTCTGTTTGTCTATCCTGTCATCTGTATGTGTCAAATCCTGATCCTTTAATATATCAAGCACCCCTGAAAGGTACACAGGTATTACAAACACCAGACCTGTTTATATTTTGCATATTAATTAGCTAGTTTGCATATTAAATTTTGAGACAAATCTATGCATATTAATTACTAATTTGTATAATTATTCGTAAATTTTAGGCTTTTGCACTGATATTAATCTGTGCATATTAATTATTTTATTTGCATGATTAGTCAATTTTTAACTATTGATATTTCAAGTACTAATCATTACATTTCAATGGAACTTGGCACATATATTAGTTTAGGTATAAAAAATTGTGCATATTAATCCCTGAATTTGCATAATGATTATTCAATTTTTGGCTTTTCCACTGAAATCTACAGTACTAATCATCCCATTTCATACATAGATGCTTTAGGACAATGCACAGAAAATGTGTGCATATTAATTAGCCAATTTGCATAATTAGCCGATTTTTGGCCTTCACACTGATATCTTTAAGTCAGTAAAAATTGTTTCACTGTAGCAGAGTGAAATGTTATTTGGGTTCGCTGTGAGATCAATTGTTTAAAGTTTAAGGAAGAGTATAAAATGGTTCAGATTCATCAGGGAGTTGTGGTCATTTGAATCAATGTTAAAATCACTGGTTAATATAATGTTTGACTGAGTTGAGTTCATTTTTAAGCCCATTCATACCTGGTTTTCTATGATATACAATACAATAAGTGTGTCTATCTGTTTCAATAGCCAGGTTATGGTTACAATAGTCTTTGCAGTTTAATTTAATTTTATACTAATTACCTGTAACTGTTTTTAGCTTACTTTTAAAAAAATTATAAAGAACATTCTGGATCAAAAACAAACTTTTTATTGAGAGAGACCTCAATAATGGATGTGAGTTAATCAGCCCCAATTAATTTAATTATTTAGTAATAAATTAACACACAGGAGTACTTCTCATGTTTGGTTTAAAAATGAGGAGCCATACATTAGCATAATATTAGCATATTATAATGGCCTACAGAGAAGTTAAAAAAATCATCCTCGACTGTGGCTGCTTTATTTTACACCTTATCATATGAGCTTATCATATGAGTGATTGTCCGTCGTCGTCTGTCGTCCATGTCAATGTTTTACTTTTTCGACTTCTTCTTGAAAACTACAAGCCTGAATGCTTTGATACTTGATGTATATGTACCTTGGGTAGACCTCTCTTAGATTTGTTCATTTCGTGATGATATCTTTAATTTGCTAATTTTAGTGAATATTTTTGTAATTTTTGGTAAAAGTGATATTTTCAACTTCTTTTAAAAAAATGCAAGTCCGATTGCTTTTATATTACACATATAGGTACTACATGTGGATCTCTTTCAGATTTGTTAATTTCGTGATGATATCTTCAATTATCTAATTTTGATGATTATCTTTGTCATTTTTGGTGAAAAGTGATATTTTTGAATTCTTGTTAAAAACAGCAAGTCTGGTTGCTTTGATACTACTGGTATACATATTGTTCATTTTCTAATGATATCTTCAGTTCTTAATTGAAATGTGCATTGCAAACAGCGGAGCTATCTCAGCTGACAGGCTGCTTGTTTTTCACATCTTACAGGCATGCATAAGTACTGCATTGCAATTTGTTTTCTGTTCTTGTATATTATCTTTAAAAGCATGTTTTCTCGTATCATGTATCCTATTTGACATCGTGACAAAGTTATTACGCCTTATCAATTTATTGATAACCTTTTTCATTATCTTGGGCGTGTGGGTCACGCACATCATACTTCATTCCAGATGTATGTACATGTATTTTTTCATGATTCAATTCAAGATGGCAGAATGGCAGCCATCTTAAGGCCAAAAATGTATTAATATCACATAATGTTCTCAATTCCGCAATGGATTCAAAATAGCAAACTCATGGTGGCCATTTTTTTCTCCTTCAACATGCATGGACCAATCAAGTTTAAACTTCACTCTTACATCAGACATCATATTGGACAAATGCACATGCATTTTTGTAACCATCAAATCCAAAATGACTGACTGGCGGCCATGGATATGGCTTTGGTAGTCATGCGATATCCCATGCCTGTAACATAAAACAGAGAATATGACATTGACACTGACTTCTATTCAAACTATGCCAACTTTTTGTTTCTGCAACACCATGCATGCATTTTTCTATTGGTGTCTAGCCTGCAAATTTGTTTTTCAAAAAAAAATTACCCTTGATTTCAAACATTCAAAATTTTTCCTGACTTTGGTGTTTTTGGGGCAAATTTTGTTGTTGGTCTTTTTTTTATCCATATAGAACTGAGCCAAAATGATCTTTGCGATTATGACATCACCTTATGATGTACTGTAAAATGACTAATTTTCACTTGGTTTAAATTTCGCTGATTTACCATTTCAGGCATATTCAGTGGGTTTTAAATTCACGGTTTTATCATTTCAGATAATGTGTTCTATGCTAAATTTTACATATTCATTGGGTTTTAATTTAGCGCATTTTCCAGTCAGTGAAATAAGCAAAATTAAAACACAGTGAATAATTAATCTTTTTAAAGTAACACCTAGACAGCTGGAAGGATTTTTTTGTTCAAACAAAGCGTAGACAAACAAAAAAAATTAATAAATCATGTGAGGTAGCATAACATCTTATTTGCATACTTTGATGTGTCAAAGTTGAATTTGTAGTTCTATACATAAAAAATATAAAAATATATGTAGAAACAAACATACAAGTCATTGTATTATTCATTATTAAAGCGTGGTGTTCGTCGCGCAGCGCATGTTCCAATTTCATGTAAACAAACAATGCATTTTACACGCGTTGTGTATGTCGCTATGAGTCCCATATCGAACAGGACGCGGCACGATGACCATGCTCTTTAATATACTTATATTCTTTGTTTCCATGACAACAGTATACATCAAAACTTGGCTCTGTTTAGGATTAATTAACAAGAGATTAATTTTGTAAGACAAGAAATAACAAAGAACAAAGAATGCCAGTAACTTTCATGAAATCTCAACTGCAATTAAATCACAAATAGAAAAATATGAAAGATTTCCATTGATAAAATGAATAAATAAAGCTAAGATAAATAATTAATAAATAACTTGTATCGATTTATTAGTTGGAAAATTTATTTTACTATAAAATGCATGCATATTATAAAGTAACTTATTTATGGGACTACCGGTATATTACATATTAACTCCATATTTATACACCCTTCAATTCAAATTGAAAAAAGTTGTTTATAATTTAGATGTTTTATTTGTAGCCATGGTCTGCTCATATGAATCTACTGTAAAATACTTTATTTTTGCTTGGAATTCATTTTCACTGAAGGAATGATTAAGTGAAAACAAAATCTAATGAATATACCCTTTTTCCTATGTTTCACATTCAACTTGTCAAAAATCAGTGAAAATAAATTCCATACAAAAACACCCAAAAAGTTTTTTCAGCGAAAATTAATTCCAGCTAAAATAATGTATTTTACAGTACTATATTTTGTCACTGACGAGCTGCATGTGCTAATTTATGAATATCCATATTTTTTAGTCCCCGTTTGGTGACTTATGTTTTGACCCTTGTGCGTCCGTGCTTCCATGCGTCTGGACCTGTATCTTAGAAATGCCTGGACGAATCATAATCAAACTTCACACATACATCATACATCATATTATACATATGCACGTCAATATGTTTCACGATCTGATTCAAGATGGCCGAATGGCAGCCATTTTTGTGCTAAAAAAATCATCATAATCAAGTATTTCTCTGCTGTTTACAGATGGATTTTGTTCAAACTTAGTATATACATATGCTTTGACTGATTATGTTCAAATTTTTAATATTCATTACACATCATGTCATAGATAGACAGATATATTGGTTTGATGATCCTATTCAAAATGGCCAAATGGTGGTCATTATTGTGCTAAAAAATCATCAAATATCAAGCATTTCTGGATGAATTTTGTTCAAACTTGGTATATACATCAGACATTACGGGTTCCTGATGCTCATCATTTTAATTTTCAGATCGGATTTAAAATGGCTGACTGGCGGCCATTTTGTTTTTATGAATGAGCTTCTAGACCCATATCTCTGACTTGCTTTGACTGATTATGTTCAAATTTTTAATATTCATTATACATCATGTCATAGATTTACAGATATATTGGTTTGACAATCCTATTCAAAATAGCCGAATGGTGGCCATTTTTGTGCTAAAAAATCATCATATATCTAGCATTTCTGGCATTTTTGAATGGATTTCGTTCAAACTTAGTACATACATTAGACATTACAGGTTACTGATGCACATCATTTTATTTTTCAGATCGGATTCAAAATGGCTGACTGGCGGCCATTTTGTATAAATGATTGGGCTTTTA